ATGTTGTCTCTTGGTACCACAGACTCAGCAGCTAGTGTCTCGTCTGTAGCCGACCCTCAAAGATGCTTCCTGACGAGGTGATGTCGCTTGAAGCGGATATTCTTCGTCTTCGTAAGGGCATCGCTAGACTCACCTCCACCGCTTCCGTGTCTGCTCCCCGGTGCTGCGAAAGTGGTGCCGGGTCGGGTTCATCCAATTCTACGTATTTGGGAAACCCTCCAAGGTATTCGGAGTCATTGAATCGTACAAGTCTCTTTGTTATTTAGTCGTGGGTTCTACTTGGAATGTACTTTAACGTCTTTCTAAGGCTCCTTCCTTACGTCTCTTCCAGAAAAAAGTTGCAGCGGCCGCTGAATAGCGTAAATGCAAGCACATCCAGTCGGGTGTCCAAGAGCTCGGGTCATTCCTCTGCAAGCATGAGACAACCACGTCTTCCAAGTAAGTTTGCATTTCCTTCCTCTCCTTTCTATTGCTCACCCGAAAGCTAGTTGACAGATTTAAAGCATCACAAGCCGTATTATTTGTAAATTTCACCACAATCAAGTAGAGGCCAAGAAATCATTTTATCTTCATATCTTTCTCTTCATCTGCTACCGTTGGATGGGCAAACATGGCAGACGTGATTGAGTGTACGAAGCACTTACTAGTTGCATTAATTCATTTTCTGGCATAGTTGAATGCGTTGAACGCTGATTTTTTGCTGTCATTAAATCCGATATTTTAATTGGTTGTAGCCTCATCCAGTTCCTCGGACGAAGACGCCGCCTACTCCACCTTCAATCGACCACGCTATCCGTCTAGAAGTCGACATCGTGTAGCTGCTGTCAACAACAGTAATGACGCAGGTCCGACACTGGAAGTAATCGGTTCTTCCCTGACTCCTCAGCAGCGTACTTCGATGACTGGTCAAACAAGGACTTACTACCACACCTCCTCCAGGCCACACTTCCAGTCCAGCCGCAATGAGAACTGCGGCCACCGTCGTACGGACGCACCCATTCATCGTAGAAGTCACAGTTCCACGGGTCAGAGGGTCTTCTATCACCCGTGTAGCAGTTGTGGAGGCAGTGGCTACAACCTCAATACAATAGGTCGCTTTGATAATGAGGCTTTCGATTCTTCGATACATTCTCGTAACATAAGGTTCGTAAGTTCATTAAGTACTGCTCGGATTCGCTGTTAAAACT